CTCGCCTATGGATGGAGTCCTGTAAAGCACTGATGAAAGCGGTGACCAGTTTTGCTGCGATTCCCAAACCAATGAATACCAATGAGAGGATAGTTAACCACAACTCACTGTTTAATAAATGCATGTTATATATAGTAATAGTTAAGAATATTTTGTTTGAAGTGTTCAGTAAACTTACGGTTGAAATGGTATTAAATCGAGAGGTCCTATAAATGTGAAGCCTATTATACACAGTATTGAACCAAATAAAGACACCTTCTTAGGGTCAACCTATTAGTGAATAAAAAAAAAGCCATTTGATAAGTAATTAGTTATATTTTTAAGAATTGTTATGTATTTCAAACCCCTTTATCGCAAATTTTTCCCCAAATAGGAGTAGTTATTGCATGAGTGACACCAGAAATCATAAAAATACAGCCCATTATAACTGGCGATATACTTAAGTATAGAATTGAATCAAAATGTTAATTAAAATGAAGATATAAATTGAATGAATCATTAATTACTCGAATCTTCGGAGGTGTGGCTCAAGAGTGGCCGCATTGAAGCCAATGAAGTTGAGAGATGTGGCGATCGCTAAGGCATCCAATAGTACGCCGGCGTCTGCTATGAAACTAAAGAAGTTTCCCGACTTTTGAACGGATGGCTCCACAGTTCGTGGCATTAATATGAATGTGAAAACACCGCCCAATAGTAGAAATGAGCCCAAGATTACAAATGGGGCCAAAAAACCTCCCAATTGGTAGAAAGCGCCGCCGAGTGTCGGCCCTAATATGAGTCCCATACCAAAGGACGTCCCAAGAAGTGAGAAAGTGGTGGCAATGCTGTCGGAGAACTCTTTAGCCATTATTGCATACGAGGCGGTCATGAATGCAGCGGCAGATATGCCCTCAACTATACGAACCACAAAACACATGGCTATAAAAGGAAGTCCGACGGGAAGGTTGTCTAAGGCTCCGAACAGAATAGTACTAAAACCGCACACAAAGAGTCCGATTTCGCACAACAGGACCGGAGATACGGAAGCAATCATTTTGCCGAAGAGAGGGGATGTGATGGCAATCATGAGTTCATAGATACCAAACACAAACCCATATTCAGTGGGAGTCGCGCCTACAGAATACGGTATGTATTAAAATACAGAATATTCTTTAAATTAACAAATATTTAAATACCTTTGGATTCGGCCTCTTTGGGAAAGAAGGGCGCCTGGAGGCTGACACAGGCGGCCACCCAGAAGTTGCCGTAAGCTAACAGTATTAGTATAAACAACTGTTTCGTAGTGTACGACACTTTCTTATCATCACTAGAATCGGACTCTTGAATCCATTTCACACTTTTTGTGTTATTGTTATCAATGGGCAACGAATAGCCGTAAAAGTCTTTGTGGAAGTGTTTGTTCCCGTTTTCATAGACTGGCAGTGAATCACACTTTTGAGACAATATTCTTTGCACTTCTGTAGAACAGCTGAAGGAATGTCTTTTAGACTCCATTCCTGTTGAGAATTCCTCTAAAACTTAATAAAATTAAT